GCAGCCTTTTCGCATCCCAATTCTTTCGCCTTCCGCAGCGATGAAACAAAAAGTTCGCTTTTTCTAAAAGGAAAACCACGTATCGAACATGCCACGATCACCGGTAATTAACCAGTTAGCTGTGTTTGACGAGTTTACTCGTCATGGAGAAGTGGCATTATTTTGTGTCTCGACGAGTATATTCGTCGTGCGTAAAAATCAGTGACCATTTTGGCTATTTAAATTGTAATTTTAGTTAAAACAAAAACATATTCTGTAATTTCAAGATGTTTAGAATACTTTGAGGCCAGGCCTTGAATAAAACAAACAAGTGAAAAATATGAATAATTATGTGAATAATTTACGATATTGGTGTTCGATGTGCAAAGTGCCATTACATATTATACCTTGCTTCGCTGAATACCACTCTACAACTTTGAATTTTTAACTTTTGTAAGTATCTGACTTTTCCCGTGTTTTTCGTTTATTATGTACGTAGTGTATGTTAATGTTAACATTAGTAATAAAATGGTTAATTTTATAAAATAAAACCGTCTTTTTGATCCAATATTTTAACAGCGACACTTACATTTGTGTTCGACGAGTATACTAGTCGTCGCTTGTTTCTCGCGACACGTATAGGTGCGCACATTGAAAAAGAGGCGCCACAGTTAACTGGTTATAAATATTGGCAAGGAAAAGAATATAAGAATAATATTTGTACTATTATGTTTGATATATTGACGCTATTCAACGAAGAAATACATTTTTGATCGACGTTTCTTCTAGTCGACGCAGAAACATTTTATTTTGCATAAAAATCCGCGATCTGCCGATTGCTTTGCCATCTCCTCTGCAACGTTTGTTCTAACAAAGATATTTGTTTCCCACCAATTAACAATTGATCTCGCATCGCTTTGAACGGCCGCTCGCGCTGTACTAATTGCGAGGCGGCGTTCGTCGCGGAAGATCGCAACGTTTCTAAGCCACGAACCTTCGCGAAAATGAAAACATAATGTTACTCGGTGGCAACGGCTAGGCTACAAAGGGTTGTTTAGAATGCGCCGGACACGTCAGACTTAATCGCGGTGAAAAATCCGACAGACAAAGATAGATCGCGTTATTTTCGGCGCGGCGGCGTGAAGCGTGCGCGAAACGATTTTTCGGCTTAGCCCGTGTCGAGTCGACGACGATTCGTTTCAACCTCTTTGCATCGCGAGAGTCCATTGTGGATCGCGCAGGAGGTTGCAGTCTAAATTCGAGACGCCTTATTTCTATCCTTGCGCGAAAAAAATAGAACGCAACACGGTGCTTCGTCCTCGCGCACGTTTGCGTTTCGTATCTATGCAAATAAGGGAAGATGTTGTTGTTGTTCGCGACATAACTTAACAAGCGGAGGATGATGCGGCGAGAAGGCAACACGTGCGCGCATCGATTGCGACGAAAATGCTAAGGTAACGTAAAAACTCGAAGGCTTTCCAACCATCGGGCTGTTTACTCGTTTCGGCAGTCCAATGGCAAGTTCACCGAGTTCGTTAGACGTTGCGAGCAACGCCGGTGCACCTCTCTATTTCTATATATAAATGCAACCTCGGAATAGACTCGGTCATGCAGCGGGACGAAAGTTGATTAGTCGGGAAATTCGACGAAATCGCGGCGGCTTAATCGACGCCGTTTCCCCGAGGTGCCGAGCGCCTTGTATTCTCCGAGAAATTACGATTGAAAATGCCGATAATTTTCTGAACACGTTATTCCGTAACTCGGATAGCAGTAGTTGGATTATCGGAGAAAATGTCTACCGCTTTCGAACAACTTCTGGGCGCAATTAAACGTACTACGTCGCCAAGTTTAAGCACGACGGCATGCTAAGTGCTGTACAATAATCGGTCATGCGAACGCGAGGCGGCTCGTTCGGCTTCTATTAAAATGCCGCCGCCTCTGCGACCTTTCGGCTTCGTATACATGGAAATCTAGTTTTCGAGAACCCGGAATCCGGAGAAACAGAAACCTCAGCCTCGTGGAATCGGCTGCCGAACGCATAAGAGAACCAGCGGAACGTCGGGTCGTTTGCTATCTCAGATCACCGACGAACGTTCCTCGAAGGAAATTCGTGTCATCGAACTTAATTGAAATTTTACGGAGTCGCGTGCAATATCTCGAATCGCCCGCGACGATTGCAAGTTCCGGCGAGGCGAAGTGCAAGAGATATTAAAATGACGCAGTGACTCAACTCCGAGCGGGACAATGGAGCGGTTATTTTTCTTTTTCGAGAAAAACGCGGCAGAGATCCTTTCCCAGCGATGCGACTTAATCCAGTCTCTCTCTAACAAGGTGAAAATTGAATCGATACCTGCAGTCGGTCTAAGAATACATTATTAAAGCGGATAGCTTCGTCCCCCGAAGGGTTTAATAAATCATCGAAGCTGTCGAGAGTAATTGAAGAATTATCACCGAACAAAACTCGACTCCTCGAGGATAATTAACGCGTACTTGATCGCAGGTAATAGACATTGCCGCGCACACGATATTACAAGAATAGAAATCCGCGAGCATCGAATGTTAAATGCGTGCAAGCTGCATGCACATTTTCGAGTGAAGATTTCCCGAAAAATATCGACTGTTTCGTTCATTTTATTAGACCCGCGACGTTGCTCGGAAGTCAGGGTTCAGATTCAAACGAGTTACAGGTCAGGCGAATTACCAAATCAGCGGTGAACAAGCGAATTTAACAAGTCCGAATAAAGCTCGAATCGGAAGGATGGGGCACGTTCCGGCATGCGTCGTTCGATCGCTGCCAAACGAAGATCCGCGGATTCATTAGTCGAGTCTGATTTATTGCCGAGTCGTTTTCACACGACCGAGTCAAGCGAGGGTCAGGTTTGTTTCATCTGATCGGCGCTCGCGCGACATTCGTCGAGGAAAATGGATTTTCCAGCTGGAGGAAGTTCGCGCTTTCTTGCTCCTCCTCGCCGATCAGAGATTCGATTCTATAGATTGTTGTATTTACTAAATGGCTGATCGGCGTAGGGATAACAAAAGATTGAACTTGCTTCACCTGTGACCGAAGCTTCCCAGCCAAAACCGTTTAAGAGGCGATAGCTCGGAAAACAACGGCACAGTTCGACGCGTTGCACGTTTCGCCGTAATGTTTGCGCGCGCGAACGGCGCAACGTCAACAATCGTTGGTTTTTGTTTGCCCGCGTTTGTTAACATTCCGAGGACTTTTTTCGTTCGATTTTGTTTCCGCTGTTTTCGAAGACATCGCGAATCGTACGCGGCAACGGCTACGCGACCGCTTTTTAATTACTTTCATCGAAGAACAATGTTGAAATTTGCGAAGAGGATTTCGAAAGAGAAGCTCATCTATTCGTCGGACGCGCGCAGTGGACGCGTCGCGCGATAAGCCGCATTTTAGTGCCGCAATTCTATTATTATTTAGTGCGCATGGGCATTTAACGGTATCCCGAACGATTACGTTATTAGCGATAAGAACAATTGAGCTGTTATCAGAATTTTCCCAACCAAAATATAAATGTACTACCCTAGATCATAAACGCGTCTACAGTAATCGCCTAGTACTACTAATTACGAATCGCATTTGCTCGACGTTGCTGTACAAATGCTTATCGGTGCAACGCTCAGTTTCAAATCACCGACCAAACTACGTTGGATACATTGCAACGCGAGCGACGACTATTTTCAGTCGACGCAAACGCTGCGCTTGCGACGTGTTTCACAGACCTCGAAGATTTAGACTTTGTTAGCCTTATGGTTAAATTATTAATTCGCCGAAATTTCGAAATAAATACTTCGGAAAGAACGTCGCTTGTAATTAAAACCCGCTCGCAATTGACATTTGTTCAAACACAGATCGCACCTTTCAACGATACGCTCGATAGATATCGCGATTATCGGACTTCCTATCAATAAAAAGATTCGAGCGTTGTTGTTCGTTCTGACACGATCGACGTGAAAATATTTCATTGAGAAACTAGTCTAAAATCGTCCAAAAAAAGAATTAGCGAATCTCATTCACGTGTCGGCATATTTGAAAGCAGACCAACGAGCAACAGATATTTTTAAACGAATCCATCGATTCTTCACGGAACGGAGTACGAATATCCCGCTAATGAATATTCTGTATTACTGTTACCTTTTTGCAGTTGCACAAAGACTATTTAGAAAGCGTTTAGATTTCGTTCCCCCTTTTTTCTCGGGCGCATAAAATAATTAATTTTCCGCCGCTGGCAGCTAGCAACTGTTATCCACTCCAATTACAGTTTTATAGCTCTTGTTAGAGTTTATCTACACCTCGAATGGCCGAAGAATACATAAATGCCTTTAAAGCACGTTCCGCATAGAAAATTCTCTCGGCAATATTTAACCGTGACCGAGGCCTCTGTCAACTATCATTTGCTACGTCAATCGTGTGCTCCGTATTCTAAAATGTTCTAAATAAATTATCAATTGATTGACTAGCTCTCGAATTATCCATTCACAGAATTATCATTCCATTCCGCGCGCTCCGAACAGCATCAAATATTTATTTTACCGTCACTATTTCCTCCATTCTCCGTACTCCAAAATGTCCCGAGTAAATGAACAACTCGCGTGCCGCGCCTGGATCTCAAATAGTCACAAAAAATCGTCGTCCCATCGATCTCTACCAATTAATTTCCAACTGCATAGCTCGCGTCCCTAGTTACGCGCCGCGCTGACACGCAGCCTTCTACGACCCCACAGCCACCAGAAAACGAAACTCTCGAACCACGTTTCCCACCAAACATCCTCCCGCGGTGCTAGCCGGCCGTTTCACGATCGCATCGAGCCGATGAAAACGCAACCGTGACCGAGGAACGAGCGGCAAGGTTGCCGCAGGTCTCGGCAGAGGCTGGCGCGGCCCGTCAAAGTTCGCGCCACCGTTCGCCGGCGCGATCGAAAGCGGTGCTGCGGTCGCCGGTGTAAACCAACCCCTGCAGAGAGTGCTCGACAGTGCTGGGGGTCGGTTCGCTGAGACCTACCTGCGGCGGCAGCGATGTACTGAAGCCTCGTCGATCCTTTCTCCGTCATCTTGGCGGCGATGCTGAAGCTCACAGGACACTTCTCGTGGACACCTTCCGACCGATTTAATTTGGCTTGCCCGACACCGTTCTCGCTTATCTCTTCGTTCTGCTTCCGAAGGGTAGTTGAATCGCACACTGACGAAGAGCCGCCACTCGCTGGTACAGGGCTGTAGGCATACGCGCGCTCTTTATACGCTTTACGCTCTTTATAGCGCCCCTCTATTTCCTTGTTGCCGTCGTGGGTGGGGGCCATTTCTCCCTCTTGTTCTCTGTCGTTCGCTCGATAAAACGGCCGTCCCTCTCTCTCTATCTCCCTTCCTCGTTCCGTTACGTTCCTCGGCCAACCGATTCACGGCTTCACGGCTGCTCCGTCGCGTCGCGAGCTAGGCTCCGCTGCCGCTGCCGCCGCCGCTGCTGCCTCCTGCTCGCCAGCCAAATCCAAACACCGTGCCGAATCGAATCGAATCGTATCCTCGACCCTGCAACCAATCCGCGGGTCAAGGTCAACCGCGGGTCCTCCGGGGCGAGCGCCGCGCGAGCGCATCCCTAACGAGAGTCCACCGATCCCCGCGGCCGAAAGGTGTTACCCGCGGTTCTGATAACAACGGCGACGGTAACACGGTCTCTGACACGGTTTCGTGTTTTAGTACCCTATTAGTGGATCTTTAACACGTTCGTGCCGCTCGGATCTGGGTGACACGGTTCCCCTATTCCTAGGGGCTAACAGGGCTGCAGAAGCGATCGGTGGAATTCAGCTCTGTCGCGACGCGTCTCGTCGGGTAAATCGCTCGGACTACTTTTGCTCGGTTTTCGGCGCGTCGAGGAAACTCTGCGTAATCTCGCGGGCGAATCAAGTTCGTTTCCTGAGAATTTTAATAGGAAAATGAATCGGTTATCTGGCTATTCTCTTGCGTATTTTAATGCCGTAATTGCGCGAAACCGCAGCCCATTCGACACGGAAATGCGCAGGATTGCGCAGGAACGTTGTCGGTTTTCCACTGAAAATCCCGATTGCTAAATAACGTCTAACTCGTTCTACGACTATGTACTTCGGAGAGGAAGAATCCCTGACCTGCGCTATCGAGCGGAATCACTTTGGCCACCCTGACGCAGGGTGTCACGCCCTAGAATAGATTGACGGCGTTTAGGGTGCCGTCATGTAAACACACGCCTAAGAGACGTTCGACCGTGTAGATTGTTGTTCTCTCTCTCTCTCTCTCTCTCTCTCTCTCTCTCTCTTTTCTACGTTCGACCGCGACTTTGTCCACTCCATGAAAATTGGCCAACGTTAAACTTTGTCGTCGGCATTCGACGATGTTTCTAAACGCTCGCTCGCTCTCACTTTATCTCCGCGTCAATAGCCTTTTTATCGTGCACTCGATGCTCACGGAGAATTAGAAAATGGATAAAACAACAACGGGGAAATGCTATCGTCGAGCACGGATCCGTCCTTTCGAACGAGCGACTGCAAACCGCCGGCAATCGCGGTTGAAAAATATAGATCGAAGGCAGAAGCAAAACAAGGATATGTAATACCTCTCTAATTGACGCTCGAATTGTCCAGAAAAATGGTCAATTCGGGGAGAGGAGATACGATTATTCGAGCCTTGCAATTCGTTTTTTTTGGGGGGGTAGTATAGCTCTGAATAACTTGTACACTCGTTTGTGCGGTGGAATACCTCTTTATTTCTTACGCGGACTTTATCTTTCTCGACGGGTCGCGGTGCAGTGCCGAGTCTTCGTTTTTCACGCGCCGTTTGCCCTGGTAAAATTCTTGAACANCGCGCGCAGTGGACGCGTCGCGCGATAAGCCGCATTTTAGTGCCGCAATTCTATTATTATTTAGTGCGCATGGGCATTTAACGGTATCCCGAACGATTACGTTATTAGCGATAAGAACAATTGAGCTGTTATCAGAATTTTCCCAACCAAAATATAAATGTACTACCCTAGATCATAAACGCGTCTACAGTAATCGCCTAGTACTACTAATTACGAATCGCATTTGCTCGACGTTGCTGTACAAATGCTTATCGGTGCAACGCTCAGTTTCAAATCACCGACCAAACTACGTTGGATACATTGCAACGCGAGCGACGACTATTTTCAGTCGACGCAAACGCTGCGCTTGCGACGTGTTTCACAGACCTCGAAGATTTAGACTTTGTTAGCCTTATGGTTAAATTATTAATTCGCCGAAATTTCGAAATAAATACTTCGGAAAGAACGTCGCTTGTAATTAAAACCCGCTCGCAATTGACATTTGTTCAAACACAGATCGCACCTTTCAACGATACGCTCGATAGATATCGCGATTATCGGACTTCCTATCAATAAAAAGATTCGAGCGTTGTTGTTCGTTCTGACACGATCGACGTGAAAATATTTCATTGAGAAACTAGTCTAAAATCGTCCAAAAAAAGAATTAGCGAATCTCATTCACGTGTCGGCATATTTGAAAGCAGACCAACGAGCAACAGATATTTTTAAACGAATCCATCGATTCTTCACGGAACGGAGTACGAATATCCCGCTAATGAATATTCTGTATTACTGTTACCTTTTTGCAGTTGCACAAAGACTATTTAGAAAGCGTTTAGATTTCGTTCCCCCTTTTTTCTCGGGCGCATAAAATAATTAATTTTCCGCCGCTGGCAGCTAGCAACTGTTATCCACTCCAATTACAGTTTTATAGCTCTTGTTAGAGTTTATCTACACCTCGAATGGCCGAAGAATACATAAATGCCTTTAAAGCACGTTCCGCATAGAAAATTCTCTCGGCAATATTTAACCGTGACCGAGGCCTCTGTCAACTATCATTTGCTACGTCAATCGTGTGCTCCGTATTCTAAAATGTTCTAAATAAATTATCAATTGATTGACTAGCTCTCGAATTATCCATTCACAGAATTATCATTCCATTCCGCGCGCTCCGAACAGCATCAAATATTTATTTTACCGTCACTATTTCCTCCATTCTCCGTACTCCAAAATGTCCCGAGTAAATGAACAACTCGCGTGCCGCGCCTGGATCTCAAATAGTCACAAAAAATCGTCGTCCCATCGATCTCTACCAATTAATTTCCAACTGCATAGCTCGCGTCCCTAGTTACGCGCCGCGCTGACACGCAGCCTTCTACGACCCCACAGCCACCAGAAAACGAAACTCTCGAACCACGTTTCCCACCAAACATCCTCCCGCGGTGCTAGCCGGCCGTTTCACGATCGCATCGAGCCGATGAAAACGCAACCGTGACCGAGGAACGAGCGGCAAGGTTGCCGCAGGTCTCGGCAGAGGCTGGCGCGGCCCGTCAAAGTTCGCGCCACCGTTCGCCGGCGCGATCGAAAGCGGTGCTGCGGTCGCCGGTGTAAACCAACCCCTGCAGAGAGTGCTCGACAGTGCTGGGGGTCGGTTCGCTGAGACCTACCTGCGGCGGCAGCGATGTACTGAAGCCTCGTCGATCCTTTCTCCGTCATCTTGGCGGCGATGCTGAAGCTCACAGGACACTTCTCGTGGACACCTTCCGACCGATTTAATTTGGCTTGCCCGACACCGTTCTCGCTTATCTCTTCGTTCTGCTTCCGAAGGGTAGTTGAATCGCACACTGACGAAGAGCCGCCACTCGCTGGTACAGGGCTGTAGGCATACGCGCGCTCTTTATACGCTTTACGCTCTTTATAGCGCCCCTCTATTTCCTTGTTGCCGTCGTGGGTGGGGGCCATTTCTCCCTCTTGTTCTCTGTCGTTCGCTCGATAAAACGGCCGTCCCTCTCTCTCTATCTCCCTTCCTCGTTCCGTTACGTTCCTCGGCCAACCGATTCACGGCTTCACGGCTGCTCCGTCGCGTCGCGAGCTAGGCTCCGCTGCCGCTGCCGCCGCCGCTGCTGCCTCCTGCTCGCCAGCCAAATCCAAACACCGTGCCGAATCGAATCGAATCGTATCCTCGACCCTGCAACCAATCCGCGGGTCAAGGTCAACCGCGGGTCCTCCGGGGCGAGCGCCGCGCGAGCGCATCCCTAACGAGAGTCCACCGATCCCCGCGGCCGAAAGGTGTTACCCGCGGTTCTGATAACAACGGCGACGGTAACACGGTCTCTGACACGGTTTCGTGTTTTAGTACCCTATTAGTGGATCTTTAACACGTTCGTGCCGCTCGGATCTGGGTGACACGGTTCCCCTATTCCTAGGGGCTAACAGGGCTGCAGAAGCGATCGGTGGAATTCAGCTCTGTCGCGACGCGTCTCGTCGGGTAAATCGCTCGGACTACTTTTGCTCGGTTTTCGGCGCGTCGAGGAAACTCTGCGTAATCTCGCGGGCGAATCAAGTTCGTTTCCTGAGAATTTTAATAGGAAAATGAATCGGTTATCTGGCTATTCTCTTGCGTATTTTAATGCCGTAATTGCGCGAAACCGCAGCCCATTCGACACGGAAATGCGCAGGATTGCGCAGGAACGTTGTCGGTTTTCCACTGAAAATCCCGATTGCTAAATAACGTCTAACTCGTTCTACGACTATGTACTTCGGAGAGGAAGAATCCCTGACCTGCGCTATCGAGCGGAATCACTTTGGCCACCCTGACGCAGGGTGTCACGCCCTAGAATAGATTGACGGCGTTTAGGGTGCCGTCATGTAAACACACGCCTAAGAGACGTTCGACCGTGTAGATTGTTGTTCTCTCTCTCTCTCTCTCTCTCTCTCTCTCTCTCTCTTTTCTACGTTCGACCGCGACTTTGTCCACTCCATGAAAATTGGCCAACGTTAAACTTTGTCGTCGGCATTCGACGATGTTTCTAAACGCTCGCTCGCTCTCACTTTATCTCCGCGTCAATAGCCTTTTTATCGTGCACTCGATGCTCACGGAGAATTAGAAAATGGATAAAACAACAACGGGGAAATGCTATCGTCGAGCACGGATCCGTCCTTTCGAACGAGCGACTGCAAACCGCCGGCAATCGCGGTTGAAAAATATAGATCGAAGGCAGAAGCAAAACAAGGATATGTAATACCTCTCTAATTGACGCTCGAATTGTCCAGAAAAATGGTCAATTCGGGGAGAGGAGATACGATTATTCGAGCCTTGCAATTCGTTTTTTTTGGGGGGGTAGTATAGCTCTGAATAACTTGTACACTCGTTTGTGCGGTGGAATACCTCTTTATTTCTTACGCGGACTTTATCTTTCTCGACGGGTCGCGGTGCAGTGCCGAGTCTTCGTTTTTCACGCGCCGTTTGCCCTGGTAAAATTCTTGAACAACCCTGATTGGCTAACCCCACGCGTTGGGCCTTTCCAATCAGCGTTGTTCATTTTGCCCTTTTTACCGCCTGTCCCTTACGCTCTTCGCGCATTTTCGGGACGGCGTGGTAATTGGAGGGGATAACGAGCTGTACGTGACAACGCGTGGAACTTTTCTTTCGGGTCACCCGTGTCGGACCACATGGCCCTTGGGTCGCTGGGTCCAGTTCGAATACCCTTCGGAAACTCTCATAATTTATGACGGTCTCCGTTAGCTATTGAGGTATTTCTAAAAAAAACTCTATTGCGAACATGCGTTGACAAAGTTTGGGACTCATCATCTCAAAAATAGCTTCTTCGAAGGAGAGTCATAAATTACGCTGGTGGTTTGCACGAGGACCGAAGTTTCCATTGTACGCACGACTGGTCGCTACAGTTTTTATAATTACCAATTGTTTATAATTATAAAAAAAACGAGCTACAAGGCTCGAATAATCGTATCTCCACTTCGCAAATTGTCCGCTTTTGTGGACAATCTGAACGTCAATTAGGGAGACATTACTGTAGTTCCATATTACAGTAATGTTTCTCTAATTGACGCTCAAATTCGGGGAGAGGAGATACGATTATTCGAGCCTTACAATTCGTTTTTGTAGTTACCAATTGTCAACAACTATAAAAAAACGAGCTACAAGGCTCGAATAATCGTATCTTCACTTCGCAAATTGTCCGTTTTTGTGGACAATTTAAGAAGAGACGATACGATTATTCGAGTCTCGGGACTCATTTTCATAGTTACGAATTGTCAATAACTATAAAAACAAGCTTCAAGACTCGCATAACCGTATCACCTCTTCCCAAATTGTCCAATCTTCTGCACAATCTGATCGCCAGTTAGGGAGACATTACTGTACTTGGCAGTCCTAGGGCCAAGGTCGAGTAGTCTGCAGTGACCTAGACAGAAGTTCTGCATCCTCCGCGATAAAACGAACCCTTCGATTCCCTTCGATCGAACGAATTTGACGACTTGGTATTTTTTATTTGTTTCATCGTGATTCGCTAGAAGGAAACGATCTACATTTATTTCGTAAGGTCATTGCGGCAGTAGGGAGGTCAGATTTCGCTTTGCCTCGAAAGAGGCGAACGCTATCCGACTTTATAATCCTATAAATTCACGGCCAGCTGAAACGTCTCTGTTCCTAGGTCAGAAGAATGCTTGAAATAAAGTTCTACATCCCGGTGAAATAAATCTGGGATCATTTTACGCGGACCCGGCAATTCAGAATTTTATCGGCTAATCGAAATTTTCTGATCCGGCATGCTCTCGTCGCATCGTTTCCAAATGGCCGATGCTACTCGCCCCGAGAAATTCGACGTTACGATGACACGCTGTGACGTCGAATCGACTTTCGGTGGAAAGGATCGGATCGTTTAAGTAGGAAGATCGATAAATCGAGCGGAAAGTAGAACGAGAGTAGACAGGCGTTCCCTTCGGGCATTTTCATCGTATGAAAATACTGTCGAAGCGGGTCCAAGAGCATTTCCGATTGTTTCAAGGCTCACTGTTCCCCTTTCCCATCACCCGCAAAGCGCCATGTATTGTAACGTGATAAGTTCCAAAGGCCAATTTATCTCGCGATCCCGAACGATAATTTTAAATACGAGCGAGGCTTGTCGAGTAATGGAACACAAATATACAAGATACTTTCAGCGATTTTTATCTTGTCCCGACGATAATGCCCGGCGACAAGATAGTTTACAAATGGTACTTAATTAATGGAAACATTCCCCGACGCTTTAACAAATTCCAACGGATTGTTCCAGTCTTTTATCGACGAAAAATTATCGAAGTCCTATTTAGGTCACGAACAGACTTAATAAATGGTTCTCAGCTTCTTTCTTGCGTAAACTTCGATGCTTCGTCAACAGTGCTATGACTTACTCGCACGTTTCAGCCTTTAAAATGTAAGCCGAATTTCCTTTATTCGAATCTTATAAGGAAAATCGCTACACTAATCGAATGACTGTTGTATCATAATTGATCCTTTTGGTGACTTTATTGTTAGACATCGAATGAATGAAAAATTCGTTATAATTACCGCGTTAGTACTTTCTATCAAAATGAACAATATGAGTTTGAATACGAGTTGAATATATGTTTTCCTGCTTACAAATAAATGGATTATAATAAATAAAAATGTGATTTCGCATTCCACGGCGTTTCAGTGTGCTAAAGTAATAAAACTCCGTCATCGATGAAAAAGGAAAAACCAGTAGATGAAATCGATCAAATAATATCCGCGTCACTGCGGATGACGCAGTTGATTTTAAGCTTGTTTCGCTATCGATCCTCGACTACTTACATATATTCGTTTGTTAAACTAATAGAACGACAACCGTGCATAGAAAAGGAGTGGTCGATCGATGAGTTAATCAATTAATGGACAGTCGATAGACAGAGAAACATCAACATCGATGGTACACGAGCGCGGGAAAATTTTATGCTCCGTTCTCCCCGTTTCATTTCGATTTCAAACGATTTCCATTTGTTGAATTAACAGAACTCCTCTCGCCCGTGGAAATGAGATAATCGATCGACGTAGTAATTTATTCGGACAATTAGCAGACAGGGAGGATCGCCGACATTGCAAATAACCCGAGCGTCGGAAGATTCGACGCTTCCATTTGTTAAACTAATTGAAATTTCGTTCGACGAAGGAAAAGACTGGCCAGTCGATAAATCGATCGATTGAACTGCTGCTAATTGACGGAGAAACTCGACAAGAAAACCGGCGGCGGCGCCGGTAGTTTCCTGTTCGTTCCATTGCATTCCATTCAATTCCATTCCGTTCCTGAAATCCCGTGCCGTCCAATAACGTGACCGGGTATTTCCGACGCGCGCAATCTACTTTCTTTTCTTCCTCTATCATATCTGTATCGAGAGCGCACTTTTTTCGTCGACGCGCGCGGCTTTTATTGTGATTGAGAGTGCGTTTCGCTGCGCCGTGTAGATTAAATCGAGCGGCCGGCGCGACGGCAACCGGTTGCGCGACCCAATCCTCCCTTAACCACCCTTATTCTGCCCTATTCTCTCGTCCCTGTGCCAGCCAGAAAAATCAATACGATGGGCCACGTGCGTGGCCGTTATTAGAATCGCCGGCAACCGTTGCTGAAGGGTTATGCAAAACGGACACCCGGACCGAGGTTGTAGAAGTTTCGCGAGACCCGAATCGCCGGCTCAGTTTCCTCGGGAACCACCGTCTCGAATTTTATGGAACAGTCTGCGGGCTTATTTCAAACCGAACTTAAACGCGCGAGTGTTCTAATAGCTAGTTCGCTGTAGATCTGATCTTTGTAGACTAATTTTAATGGAGGATACGCGCTCGGCATAGCAAACGGTTGAGTACAGATTTATGAACCTTCTACAGTAATGTTTCCCTAATTGATGCTCAAATTGTCCAGAAAAATGGACAATTTGGGGAGAGGAGATACGATTATTCGAGCCTTGCAATTCTTTTTTATATTAGGTTGGGGAATAAGTTCGTAGCGGTTTTATATTTTATTTCATGTTACAACGATCTTTTGCTGTTTCACAAAGTGTATAATATTCATTCGATAGAGCTCTTTCTGCTCTACTAAACTGTGCTAATCGTCTTTTTGAGTAATTTAATTTTTTATTACTTTTGAGGCTTAGAAATGGAATATCCACGAGGTAAAA